TATATAAACTTGACCAAAATTTTATGCAAATCAGAGAAAAGGCTGTGAAAACAAACAAAGGTATGATGGTCTCTCTTCACATAATATCTGGTTTTTCCAACTTATGCTGTGAAAAACAAGCTTTAACACATGTTTAGTTTCCATACAGAATTTTTTCTACATGCTACAGCTCTTTTATCTTCTTTATTGTGTTATTGTCTTCAATAATATTTAAACCAGTCATAATTAATCTGAGCTCCATCTAAGTTTTTATTATGTTGATTCTGGCTCAAACCTAAAACTTTTTTTTCAACATCATTATTATTCCTCTTGTTAATATATTTTTTCTTGCAGTTTTTACATGAATGTATTGACACACCTCTTGTTATTGTGCGAGGGCAAAACTGAACGTTTAGAGTGTTTATGKTGGGATGTAATTTACTCAGGTGAATACCGTAAGTTAACATGTTGTGACGAAGAGGGAACAAACTTCCCTGCATTGTTCTGCTGTAGCAGGACTAATGTGCATTGTGCAATATAACAGAAGAATCAAGGATGTCACTAAAATGATAAATAACAAAAAATAGCAAACCTACAACATGCAGTAATTGGTGTGCTTGTCTGTGGATGAAACTGGTGAAGAAAGTTGTGAAAGTAGGCAAATGTCAGAATAAAAGAAAACCGTGTTTAGTTTCAGTATGATTGCAGAACATATTAGAGTAAAAGCGCTGAGATGTGTAAACTTGTCAAAAGGACAAAAATGTAGGATTCTCTTTTAAAAGTTAGGGTCCAAAAATGACCAGCATCAGTACTTTGAGCCATTACTAAAAATAATCACTTTACATTTGCACCTCGAGAGACAGAAACCCTGTTTTTCTGCTGTTAGCTGTGACAACTTTCAATATACAACAGTATTCATGCTTATGGACTAGATGATTAAATTGAGACGTAATCTTTGAATAGAAACGTGTACTGCTTTGAATGTAACACAAGCTAAAACAGATGTTTTTAAGTTCCATCACTTGTATTACGATCATACAATTGGCAACATAAGGTCACAATCATAACTGCTTTTTTTTCAACACAGCAAAAGCAGAGTGTTTCATCAAGTTTTACTGACTTTAGCCAGCTTTGAGAATGATGTGATGTTTTTTTTTCCTGACATGTATCTTCATCTGAATCTAGTTTTGTAACTCGTGGATTGAGCCATTCGCTGCAATGTGGAGAATATTTATTTTTCATAAGTCAACATACTGTACTTCTTACAGGGCTGTTATAACAAGGTGAATTGATTGGTACACCTTTTATGCCATGTGCGTCCCCATTTAGTTGATCTAACTCAGGAAGTCCCTTAGGCATTCTATGAATGGGACCCAGATATAAAAGATGGCCACCCATGGTCCAGCACTCATTGCACAAAGTCTGGTGTTTAGAGTTGTTGATATACAGCCAAACCTATCCACGTTAGGAGGGCTGGAAAGGGAAACAGGCAAGACAAAGCATGACCATCGCATGACTGTAAAAGTTGATATTAGTTTGTTTAAAGTCAAACCTAATTAAAAAGAAAAAAAATATTTTGAATTTGGGGAATATGAGTTCAAAACTTTTATATGCAACATTTTGACCAGTATTTTAGCAAAAGTTTATAAATATCTCCTAACGTATGTGTTGTTGAAAATCATTTGCTAAATTGGTGGTATGTACAGTTAATAGCACACATTCAGCTGCACAGAGCAAACAGCAGACATCTATCATCAGGGAGCTGGGAGGGTCCTCTCCACCTGGAATCCAGGGCCACAGACATACTGGTAGATTAGTTCAATGTTCACATCATATACAGTACTGCATTACTGTGATACATACATTAATATTAAACGTGACTCGAATCATTAACAGGAAAGACCAGCATAGTATCTTTTTACAGACGTTTATATTGGTGCAAATGGGATATGTGTGAATTTAACTTAATGCATGAAACCTGATATGTTCATTGTCAAGTGAGGGGCAGAATGAAAGGATTTAGGAAGTGAATGGTGGAAGCAAGGTGATGAAAATGATTGATTTGACAAACCAGGAAAGCAAAGCACTTTTATTGTGGGTTTATTGATGTATGATAGGGTGAGCAAAGGTTTAAGTTGTATGAGATATTGGTTATGATTTAATAAATTTTATGTTTGCAGATAACTTCACTGCATTCAGACACACTCATATATGCATTATGAATTGTGAGATGACAAAAAATGCATTGATTATAAAATTCAGAATGAGTTAGTGATTGTTTAAGAATAAAGACTATGTTATCAAAACCTTTTCAGTGCATTGTTGATTATGGCTGACTGTGCTTTTTTAAAGTGGACATAGTATGATCCCTACTCATGATTTATCCCTTGATCTCTCAGTCAAAGACTAAAGGGGTGCAGTTTAGTGCCTGTGACATCAAATCTGTGCAATAAATACAAATGCATTAAAAAACAATMACAAAGCATTAATAAGGTATTGAAAAAAGCACGCTGAAATTAACACGTTTTGAGATATTGGCACGTGAAAGAACAGGAAGTGATGACAGAGGGGAGAACCTGTGTGTAAAAGCAACAACACAGACTGCAACTATGAATTGTAAAGAGTTCCCCTTCCTGTTCACTTCCTGTTTCACTTTTGCTGCAAATTCAACCAAAAGTATCCTGGCAATGCTAAAATTGGTAAAATCATGCGTAGTATGCTAAAATTTCCAAACTTATTAAGACACGTTCTTCCATTTTTTGTGTTTGCATGTCACAGGCACTTTTAACTGCAGTGAATTTAACACCATTGTAAGAACCACTCTATGAAATTAGGACCAGCCCAACCTCACAAAATAATCCCTTAAGATCTTTGCATTATGAAATCTCAGACACTGACAAGACTTATTCTGATCATGAATGAGAAATGAAAACTTGTGACCTGAACGTATTTCCAAAATAAAGTAATTTATTTTTAGATATATGAACAGGATTAAACATACAAACATTTATTAAAATATTATATGAATAAATGAACACAAGTTATATTTTCGACATATGAATAACACCTCAGAGTTCTCACAAACAGTAAATTTCAGGTGTTGTAATTTACTGGCACGCTGCTTAACTAAGTTTTAAGTAAATAAGAGAATAAAGATAAAGGTTTAAGCTTTAAGGATAGGAGGAAAAGAAATTAGTGAATTTAGCACTTGTTCTTTAAGTCAAGACCAGACCAGCAACACAGCATGTCAAGATCAGACACCTCCGAAGCTAGACTTCCTTCGACGTTTTATCTCAGCAAACGTTTGTCTACCTTTGATGTCTTCAGACAGAACCGAACAGGCAGGTAGAAGGTTTTGAGAGTGTCGGCATCCGAAGTCCGCAGAGATGGACAATGTCTGTCATGACATCAGGGGGTTGAGAAGATTCTGTCTCACCCCTGGCGAGCCAGTGGCTTCAGGCGCGGTCTCAGTACAGTGCTTCTCGGCATGTTAGTGACACTCAGACTCCATCCAGACAGACAGGTGTCCAGAGACGGACTCACTCCTCAGAGAGACCCAGACAAGAACCATTTACTCCGACGAWCAAACACGAACAACTCAACTGGTRTTAACGGTGTGAACAGAAAAATTAGTTCCTTGAGAGGAAAAAAGTGAGAAAGAAAACAATCTGTTTTTCCCACACTTGCGGCCAGCTGCGGTGTTGTTTATCAGCAAAAGACCTTGGCAGTCTGGACAGACAGACTAAACTGTGTCTTAAAAATCACTTCAGCTAAGGTTATAAATCAGAACAATCCACTTTGCACAGATGGATTAATAGTAAAAATTAATAGTACACAATTATTAATCTTTAAACCAATTAAAAAATGATAAAACCATGATTAATAACCCAGTACTAAGAAAAACAATAAAACACATTTCAACTCTTTTTCTTCACAGTGTTAAACATGCAAAGATTAATTCAATAACTTTGAGTAATGATATATTGATTAAAACCTCTAATAGAAGATTAAATGAAATAAACATATAGCATATTGTCCCATTCACTTAAAGAAAATAGAAACAAACTTTAATATGACTTTCTTCTTATAAGTGTAAAAACAAAATCAAAGACAAAAAAATGGAAATGTTTATTTCACCAGGGTTAACCCTACACCATGTAAAAAAAACACCCTATCAATTCTCAGCAACTGCTTTTACAAACATAGTATCAATGTGCCCACATCTGCTAGCTTACTGGTTTAGCTCGCCCTCATATAACACTGTTTTTAGGCTTGTGTAGGAAGACTGGTAACAAAACCAAATGTAATATATCAG